CTCTCTCTGCCTGCCTCTCTGCCTACTTGTGATCTCTGTCTGTCAAATAAATAAATAAAATCTTAAAAAAAAAAAAGAAAAGAAAAGAAAGGGGTCCTTCTCTAGTTAAGGTCTGTGCTGCCGTGGGTGGGGATGGAAGGCTGGGGATGGGGGCTCAGTGAGAGGAGCTGAAGGGCCCTGCTTGCTGTCCCCTCTGTCCCTCAGGTCACCATCCTGGAAGCAGACAACAGGATCGGGGGCCGCATCTTCACCTACCGGGACCGGAAGACGGGCTGGATTGGGGAGCTGGGAGCCATGCGCATGCCCAGCTCACACAGGTAAGGACTGACCAAGCAGCCAGGCGCACACCGAGGCCACCCACAGCCCCACGGCTATGCTCAGACTCAGCCAGATCCCCAACTCCATCCCCACTCCAGGGCCGGACTGAACTTCAACCCTGACCCCAAACCTAAGCCCCCAATCAAGTTGCGTCAAGACTCCACCTCCCCCTCTGTCCTCCTCCTTCAGGATCTCCCATCTCCAGCCCCACCATGTCCAGCCAGACCTCCAGACCCTAACCTGTCCCTTCCCCAACCCGAACTCTGTCCCCAGTCCCACTTCCGCCCCAGAGAAAGCCAGATCCTGCTCCAGACACAGACCCGAACTGCCACGCCTTCAGCCGTCCAGCCTCGAGCCTTGCTCCCGTTTCATTCCAGGCGACCCCGCACCCAGGACCCCGACTCTAGCTGCACCGCAGCCTGGTGCCCATCCCCAGAGCCCCAGAGAGGGGCCCCGACTGTCCCCCCCCCCCCCGGCTCACACGCTCGCCCGGCGCGGCCCTCACCGGCCCCTCCGTCTCCTGCAGGATCCTCCACGAGCTCTGCAAGAGCCTAGGGCTCAACCTGACCAAATTCACTCAGTACGATGAGAACACGTGGGTAGAAGTGAACAACCTGAAACTGCGAAACTACGTGGTGGAGAAGATGCCCGAGAAGCTGGGCTACAAGCTGCGCCCCAGGGAGAAGGGCCACTCGCCCGAAGAGATCTACCAGATGGCTCTCAACCGGGTAGGCGGCCGGGCCCCTCTCGCCTCTGCCCAGCCTCCTCCCCGCCTGGCTGCTTGTGTCTCTCATTCCTCCCGTCCGCTGGCCTGGCGCTGGCTCTTCTGCAGTTTCCCGTAAATGCTGCGCGTCCCCAGAGCGCCATCAGCCTTTGGCCTCTGACCCCTGTACCCGCGCGCGCGCAGTCCCGACAGCCTCCCCGTCTATGTCTTTGGCTTAAACTTTGATCTGCTGATCAAAGATCTTCCCCATCCATCTCTGGAGACCCAGACTTCGGTCTGTGCCCCCCTGGCCATACCCCGGGACCCGGCCGCTCCCACCGAGCTCAGCGTCTTTCCCTAACCCCACTCATAGTCCTGTGTTCTCCCCTCTCATAATGGCCCCATCACCCGCACCCCAGTCCCAGGCAGGCAGACCCCCAGGTGAGATCCTAGCTCCCTCCCTCTCCCTTCCACCATCAGTACCCGCTGCCCCATCCTTCCTGTCCCCTGATCACTTGCAGTAGTCCCACCTCTGGGCCCCTACAGCCCGCGCCCCAGCTCAGGTTTCATCCTTTACCCCGGACCTTCACACCCTGCTCATCCCCTACTCACAGCCCCCAGTGGCTCCCCAGTGCCTTAGCCTCAGGTTCAAGCCCTGAACGGCTTGGTCTCTCCCACCCGCTCCAGCCTCCAAGAAATTTTTGTTACCCCCAAAGCCCTCATGGTGCCCCAAACACCCCAGCTCTGTCCTCCTTCGTACCCACTGTGCTCCTGCACCATTCCGCACCCATGCCCTTGCTTGCTGTTGCTTCCTGCCCTGCCTGGAAGGCGTTTTCCCTTTCCCACCCAGAGAACCCTGCTCATCCCCCAAGAACCAGCTCCAACCTCCCTCCTCCAGGAAGCCTTCCCTGGTGCCCTCAGGGAGGAGCAGGCCTTGGCCTCCTCTGGGAGCTCCCAATTGTCTGTCTTCCCTCTGGGACAAGGGTGGGCACTGAGTTGAGGCCATTTTTGTGGCCTGGCACTGTCCAGGGAGCCTAGGGAGACTCCAGGTGATTGACAAGTGAGTGAGTGAAGGGGAACATCCTTTGGGGAGTTCCCTGGCCATGAGACAGAAGCCAGGTGGACAGTGAAGAGGGCTAAGATGAAACGGGGCTGTCAGGAAGGGAAGAGACTTGAACAGCATGGTAAAGGGTGGCCACTTGTGGGGAACCGTGCAGAGGTGCAGATGTCGTGGGGGAGGGGGGCACTGGGCCCTGTAACATAGTGCGGCAGAACTGGAGCTGCCCTAAGAGATGGTGACCGAGGGGCCAGCTGAGGGCACAGCCCTGGGGCTCTGGGCACTGGGGAAGCCACCAGAGGGCCTTGGGCAGGAGAGAAACCAGCGACTAAGCCCCTCGGGGCTGACGGGTGGCAGAAGGGACTCTGCTTCTGTCTGTGCCCACAGCCATCCAGGTGACAATCACTGAGCACCAGCAGGATACAGCAGTGACTCATAGGCTAGGGACAGATGCAGAACAAACCGTGCCCAGTGGGGCTGAGCGTGACACCGTGAGGGTGGGCTGAGGCTGGGGCAGGAAGGGGCAGTAACAACTTGGGGAGACTTTACAGAGTGGTGACCGTGGATTGCAGTGGAGGGCAAGGCCGAGGGCAAAGACCTGGTGGCTTGAGCAGGAGTGGCAAATGGTTGGGCGGGGGCAGGTGCAGGAGGAGACCCTGGGTTTGCACACCAACCTGGCCTCTGTGGTCCTACCCCTGGAGCTCAGTGTCATCCTCTTGTCCCACCACAGGCCCTCAAAGATCTCAAGACACTGGGCTGCAGAAAGGCAATGAAGAAGTTTGAAAAACACACGCTCCTGGTAAGTGGGGGGCCTCAGCGTCGCTGAGAAACCCAAACAAGGAGGGTGCCCTTGGGGCGGTAGCCCTGGAGTCAGAAGGTGGGAACCCTGCCTGACCCCGGGTTCAGCACACGCTCCCTTTCTGGGCTTTCTTCCCTCATCTGTCACAACAGCAGGGACTGGATCCCTGAGCTTCGGAGAACCGTACTAAGTTCACTGTCACATCAGGGAACCAAGAGGCTCAGCCTGGGAGGGACCACCACAGAGCTGGGGCCAGAGCTGGCGGGTGCAGCCCACTTGGGTCCTGACCTGGGCGTGCACCGGTCCTGCAGGAATACCTTCTCGGGGAGGGGAACCTGAGCCAGCCTGCCGTGCGGCTCCTGGGAGACGTGATGTCCAAAGACGGCTTCTTCTATCTCAGCTTCGCTGAGGCCCTAAGGGCCCACAGCTGCCTCAGCGACCGGCTCCGGTGAGAGGCGGGGCCAGCGGGCAGGGGCGGGGCCAGCGGGACCCGGGCACGCGACTAACCCGGCGGGCGGGACCGTCGGTGTTGGGTGGGGTCGGGACTAGTGGGAGGATGAGAAGGGGTGCCCGTGTCCTGCCGCACTCGCCTCTTCATCCCGGGTCCTCGGGAGGAACTGGGTGGGAATGGTTCCCGGAGGAAGGCGTGGCCCAGAGGAGAAGGGGAGCGGTGCCGGGCTCGGACACTTCTCTGCTCCCTGGCCATTGGGGGACGTCGGGGACTGGCGAGGGCAGGGGTGATGAGTGGGCGGGGTCAGCGAGGAGCAGGCAGGTGACCGGCCCGTAAGGGAGAGGGCGGGGCCTCCGAGAAGGGGCGGGTGAAGAGGGGACCTGCCGCCAAAAACTAAAACGCCGACCCGGGAGTGCGCCGGGAGGGTTCCGCTGGGAGGAGCCGACGAGGAGCCGCAGGGCCCGAGCTCCGGGCTCACGCCCCCGCCCTGCCTGCAGGTACAGCCGCATCGTGGGCGGCTGGGACCTGCTGCCGCGAGCGCTGCTGAGCTCGCTGTCCGGGCCGGTGCTGCTGCACGCGCCTGTCGTGGCGATAACGCAGGGGACGCACGATGTGCGCGTGCACATCGCCAGCTCGCGCAGGGCCCGGAGTCTGAAGGCCATGACCGCCGACGTGGTGCTGCTGACGGCCAGCGGCCCGGCGCTGCAGCGCATTACCTTCTCGCCGCCGCTGTCGCGAAGGCGGCAGGAGGCGCTGCGCGCGCTGCACTACGTGCCGGCCACCAAGGTGTTCCTGAGCTTCCGCCGGCCCTTCTGGCACGACGAACACATCGAGGGCGGCCACTCGAGCACCGCCCGCCCGTCGCGCGTGATATTCTACCCGCCGCCGGGCGAGGGCGCGCTGCTGCTGGCCTCGTACACGTGGTCGGACGCGGCGGCGTCGTTCGCCGGCCTGCGCCCCGAAGACGCGATGCGCGTGGCGCTCGACGACGTGGCGGCGCTGCACGGGCCGATTGTGTACCGGCTGTGGGACGGCAGCGGCATCGTCAAACGCTGGGCGGAGGACCCGCATAGCCAGGGCGGCTTCGTGGTGCAGCCGCCGCTGCTCTGGCATGAAGACAAGGACGAGGGACCGGACTACGACTGGGCCGTCCCCTACGGCCGCATCTACTTCGCCGGTGAGCACACGGCCTACCCGCACGGCTGGGTGGAGACCGCTGTCAAGTCGGCGCTGCGAGCTGCGGTGTTGATCAACAGCCGAGAGGGGCACGTGATGGTCGACAGCGACACCGAGGAGGGCGTAGTGCGCCTGCTGCCCAGCCGTTCCCGCTGCGAGTTCGAAAAGGGCGGTACCGCCCATGCCCAGGCTGCGCACGGGATAACCGCTCAGCACACCACCCACAAGAGACCCGAGCATTAAAAGTATTTTCCGAAAAAGCCCTGTGGTCCTCCCCGGTTGTGTGGAGCAAAGCCATTAGTCTTCGCGGTAGAAGGGTGCGCCTATTCTAGAACCCCCAGAAGCTGTCCTACTTCTCCCTGAGCGGCAGGGCTCCACTGGGAAAGGGGGACTGGACCGAAACTGCTTTGCGCCCCTGGGAAATGGTAATCACAGTGTCCACTCTGGCTGTCACGAAACGGAGTCCTGATGGCAGTCACAGAAAGCACGATGGACAGTAGGTTAAACACGAATTTATTTTTTTGTTCACATAACAAGAAGCTGGTAAGCAGAGTCCCCAGAGCGTCTGAACAGCTCTGCAGGCCCTTCCATCTCGGTTATGTCCGGGATGTGTCCCCGCACAGCACTGGGGGCGGCCATACCCCAGCACCACATCCTCAGTCCTCCAAACGCCCCAGATCCAGGAAGGGGTCAGGGCCCTACCTCCACCGGCCCACAGGGGGCCTTCTCTTCCGTCTCATTGGCTGGATCAGGATCACGTGGTCAGGTGTCGGCTCCACCGCCCGTCCAAAAGGGACCACGAGCCACCACCCCCTCCCCGTGCGGGTCCATGCCAAAGAGGCAGCCTCCTTCCTCCACCTACACGAGGACAACTGGACACGAGAAGTGTCCGTGTAAGCAAATCAGCTCATTGTGAGGGCACGGGAGGCACAGGCGGGAAGGCCGGCCCCGTTCACACCCTTCCTCTCCAGCCTCGGAGAGCAGGATGTAGCGCCTGTGCTGGGCGGGCCAGCCGGCCCCGGGGGTTAGGACTCTGCGCTTTCCTCTTCCTCCTCCTCCGGCAGGATCTCCAGGCTGCTGTCGGGCTGCGGGGCTGTGTCCTCGGGGGGCGGTGGGGCCGGTGGGGCCCGGCTGGGTGAGAGAGGCAGTGGAGAGGTAGGGGGCGAGGGACTTTGGGGCTCTGCAGGGGGCACCAGACCCAAGACCTCCTGCACGTTGTGGGGCAGCTCCTGGAGGGGTGGGGGTAGAGGCGAGAAGTCAGTAGTTTTACCCCCGGAGGGAGGGGGCAGGGGGGAGGCTGGTGGGAGAGGGGCAGACTCACAGGGCAGGCGGTCAGCTGCCGGTAGAGGGCCTCCGCCCGCGTCAGCACGTCCTCCACGCTCAGCTTCATGGTCAGCTCGTTGATGTGCTGTGGGAGGGGGTGGGTCAGGCCGGCCTGCCTGCCTGCCTGCCGGCCAGCACTCAACCACCACCGCCCGAGTGCCCACTCTGTGCCTCGTGCTGGGGATACAAGGGAGGAGACAGACTGGGTGGAGCTGGGGGCTGGGGGGAAGGGGAGGTCAAGTCCTTTCAGGCCGCTTGCCACAACGAAGGGAAAGGACACTGAGCTCTCCCCATGACCCTGCCTCGCGTTCATGTACTGGGGAAAGGGCAGGTCCCCCCTTCATGGGCTGGCCGCGGTCTGAGGGCACTGTTGGGAGCCAGGGATGGGATGGAAGAGGAGAAAAACAAGCCGGGTCTCCTGGCCACGGTGCTCACCACTTAGCCAACCATACTTTCCATAATCCTATTTGAAGTACCTACTACCCCAAGGTCCTGTGGCACAGGCACAGTGCCAGCTTCCACGGAGTTCACACCTCAGCTAACATGTCCGCTTACAGAGGTCAGGACGGGCAGGGAGGGGGACTTGGAAGGAGCCAGGGCCTCACCTTGAGGATCTCATTGGAGCCGAAGCCAGAAAGCATGAGGGTGTCACGCTCCATGTCCAGAATGGCACAGGCCACCAACAGGTGCAGATTGGGGCCAGGGAGCCCTGTCCACAGCACCTAGGAGAGCCAGAGCGAGGTGTTTATGGCCCAGCCTCTTCCTGAAGTCCCACCCAGGTCTGCCCTACCCCTGCCCGCTTCCCACCAACGTCCCAGCCCAGGACAGCTGACTGATTTCTCTTTCCTCTCTGCCCTCCCACCCACACCGGCAGGCCCACCTCCCACAGCCGAAGGACATCTGGGAAGGGGAATTCCCTCTTGAACCAGATAAGCAGCCACCGGAAGCAGAAGCAGAGGGAGCCAGAGTCCTGGGAATCTGGAGGAAGACAGTGACGGGAGGGGTGGTGCTCCGCAAAGAACAAGCTCAAACTCCATTCGAATCCCCTCCTAATTCACAGTGTGCAGGCCGGTCAGCCCGAGACGCTAAGAAGTTATACTGGCTGTAGGAATCTCTACCAGTCTAGGCAAGTAACTCGTGCCCAGCATGGGAAGGCTTCGGAGCTGAGCCAAGAACGCTCTGGGTCAACAGGAAGCTTTCCCATCCTGCCTTCCAGACTCCAGATGAGGTGAGCTAATTCCTTGCCCCACCATCACATAAAAGGGATGCAGGACACTCAGGGAAAAAATAAAAGCTATCAATACCCAGGGCGCCTGGGTGGCTCAGTGGGTTAAGCCGCTGCCTTCGGCTCAGGTCATGATCTCAGGGTCCTGGGATCGAGTCCCGCATCGGGCTCTCTGCTCAACAGGGAGCCTGCTTCCCTTCCTCTCTCTCTGCCTGCCTCTCTGCCTACTTGTGATCTCTGTCTGTCAAATAAATAAATAAAATCTTTAAAAAAAAAAATTAAAAAAAAAAAAAAAAGCTATCAATACCCAGTGCTGGCAGAGGTGTGAGGAAACGGACACTCACAGACTCGGCTAGCAGAAAGATCAGCTGGTAAGAATTTCCAGGAAAGGAGTGATGGGAACAAACATTTCAAAAGCCATAAAAATACCGCCCAGAATATAATGCCACTTGTTGGAATTTAGTCTAAAGGAACTATCCAGATGATACTCCTCATGATGCAAAATTGCAAATAAGCACAGTGCGCGGACAGGTTGGACCTGCTCTCGTACACAATTCAGACAGACAGATCGCCGCACAGTCGGGCAGCTGGTGTCCCAGCACCCCCGGAGTGGCCATGCCGAGGCCCCAGGCCCATCTGCCAAGCACGGGACTGCAGGGAGCCTGGAGGAGCCCGCTCGTGGGGCGCGCTCGTGGGGCGGGGACTCGCTGAGGATGGCTCCAAACCACGATCCCGCTTTCACATGGGAATTTTGCGTTCCGGCTTTTGCAGGGATGTCTCCCTTGTCTGGATCAGGCCCAAACATCCTGGAGCCCGTCTGTGGCCACTTCCAGAGACTGGCGGGGGCGGGGGGGGGGGGAAGGGCGGAGGAAGGGAGGCTCTGAGCGCCCCCACCCACCCGCCCCCGACGCCTGCCCGCAGAGACACTCACCCAGGAAGTCGCAGAGCTGCGGGTCCAACACCCGCAGCAACAGCAGCAGTTGTCCGAGCTGCCGCTTCATCGTCTCCTGACTCTCCTCGAAGTTCCCGTGCTGCGGGAGGGAGGGCCACGTGAGGAAGCAGACACCACCCCCACCCATCCTCAGAGGCCCTGTCTCCGCGCCTGCCTGGGGCCTCACCACGAGCTCCATGAAGCCACAGAAACACCAGAAAGCATCCACCTCGTTCTGAATGACGTAGAGGATCGGGGAGAGGAGGTCACTCATGCCCTGGACGTAACCTGGACAGGGGTGGGGGGAGAAAGGAGGTCAGGGCCCAGCCCAGGCCCCCAGCAGCCCCCAAGGGAAGGCCTGGCCCCCAGCGCCCCCCGGGGCTGGCGTCGCACCAAGGTCAAAGTGGTACATGCAGTAGGTGAGAAGGATGTCGTTCAGCAGGCCCAGCCCCGGGTTCTCGGGGCCCTCATAGAATTTGTTGGTCCGGTCAGTGCGGCTGACGTCTCTCTCTGCGAACACAGGGCGCAGAATGCAAAAGTGAGAATGCTGTGGGGGCCCGTCCCTCCTGGCCGCGGGCACCAGCCCCCGGCTCCTCCCTTCGGCAGACCCCAGGCAGGTGTGAGTTGGTCCGGAAACCACCTGGAGCACCCTCGAATGAGGCACTATGCTTGCCACTTGCCAGATCGCCACAGCCTCCCAGCGACCGACAGTTACTGAACCATCCACAGACTGGAAACTGAGGCTCAAGGAGGCAAATCAGTTGTCAAGATCTCACAGCAAGTAGGGAGCAGATTTGAACCCAAGGAGTCGGGCTCCCTTTCCCTGCCCCATCCCATCTCCCCACTGAAGATGACATCATCCCTACTCCTAGGGAGGCAGGGGCCTTCCCTGTGCCCTCCCCGATGTACCATGTCTGCACCTCACCCCTGCCCAGCAGCCTACCGATGAGGCTGCGGTAACCGTGCAGCAGTGAGTTCCTCCGCTCCTGCTCGGGGCTCACGGATTTCCACTGCAGCTTCATTCGGAAGTACTCATCCCTGTGGGGGAAGGGGAGGTGAGACACGAGGCCACCGAAGCAGGCTACCTACTCATCTTTGCCACCGCTCCCCCTGCCCTGTGCCGCTCCTGACATCTCTCATGACACACAACGTCCTTGTGAGTTTTTCTTTAAAGTTTTTTTTTGGGGGGGCGCCTGGGTGGCTCAGTGGGTTAAGCCTCTGCCTTCGGCTCAGGTCATGATCCCAGGGTCCTGCGATCGAGCCCCGCATCGGGCTTTCTGCTCAGTGGGAAGCCTGCTTCCTCCTGTCTCTCTCTCTCTGCCTGCCTCTCTGCTACTTGTGATCTCTGTCAAATAAATAAATAAAATCTTTAAAAAAAAAAAAAAAGTTTTTTTTTTTCAAGTGATCTGTACCCCCACCATGGGGCTCGAACTCATGACCCCAAGATCCAGAGTCACACACTCTCCTGAGCTAGCCAGGGACCCCACTGTGGGCTTTTGTTCAGTCTGTCATCCCCACCGGACAGAGAGCACCAGGGCAGGGACCAGGACACGCAGCAGGGGCACAACGTGTAGTGTACCAGGAATGAGAAGCAGGCCCCCTGGGGTAAGGAAGCCGGCTGCAGAGTGACGACAGCTACGACATTATACTGCTAGAACAAAAACTGATGCCCACGGGGGACGAGCCTGCCTGCTTACTGCCGTCTCCATGTGTGACGGCGGGTGCCCAGCACGTGGTGGGCTCATGACTGACGACTGCGGAGCGAGCCCATCGGCGCACCTGTGATGGGCCAGGTACCGTGCCGGGATGGGGGACATGGTTGGCTGGGGTGGCCGCAGCGGCTCTCACTCACGTTTTCTTGCGCACATGGGCCTTATGCTCCTCGGCTGAGCCCTCCCAGCTGAGGTACCCCAGGAGGAACTTCCAAGCTTCGCGCCTCAGGCCAGGGCTCAGACCCTGGGGGACAGAGTGGGGCCAGCGGCTCAGAGTGGCCTCCTCCTGGCCGCCCGTAAGCCGTACCTAGTCCCCCCACCCCACAGCACACAGTCAGCACCTCACCCCGGAGAAGATGCGGGCCTTCAGCACGGGGACCTGCTGCAGGCGGCCCTCGGGGCCCACATGGTGGGCCCACTCCTCCTCGGTGAGCGGAGGTGCCCGCTCCACGGCCGGCCGCGGCCCCAGCTCCACCTGCGTGACACAAGGCCGGTGAGCTCAGGGGCTCCCACACCCTCCCTGGCCCCGGCCCCGCCCACCTGCAGGACAGTTAAGGGGCAGGGTGGGAAGCATCCCTCCCCAGGGTCAGTACCAAAGCCACCTCCGTGTCAGGAAGCTCCCCTTCCCCCACAATAACGGGAAATAGGTACACAGGTTCCAAGCACTCTCCTCGAAGTCCCTCCTCATGCGATCTATGACTGGGGTGCTGTATCATCCCCGTTCTGGGGGAAAAGGAGGCCTAGGGAATTAATCACCTGCCCAGGTGACAGCCAGAAGACAGCAGGGTCCACCTGATACTCACACAGGAAATGACCTCAAACCCAGGCTCCGGCTCGTCATCAGGGGGTGGAAGAAGGTCAGGGGAGGCCCCCTCTGGGTGTGGCTGCAGGGCTCCCCTGAAGAAGTTAGTCACACGGGAGAAGCTGCTGAAGGTGGTGGAGTAAGGGTCCTGGAGAAAGCGCTGCGGACAGGGCCAACAGGGTGCTCACAGCTGCACCGCACCCTTCCTCACCCAGTACGGTGGCCCTCCCTGCCCACAGGCGCCAGGCTGGTCAGTGGGACACTCACAGACACCACGTTGGAGCTGTTCTGATCGAAGAGCTGGAGGTGATGGAAGGAGCTGGAGAGGGCCGAGGAGTCGTGGGGGAAGACAAGGTAGAGGCGGGGGTCCTGCGGGGAGCTGAGGAGGGGCAATGTGGTGACACCCAGGCAGAGGGCCCCGCGTGCATCCCCTCCCCCTCGGTCCAACCGCCCCTGGGGAGTCCCTCACCTACAGCCTGACCACAGCTGGACCCCAGGGGTGGACACTCAACCCAGGGCTGGCCACTGAGGGCCAAGGCCCTCCTGCCTCCCACAGGAACCGATTCAGGGACAGGCCAGGGAGAGGCAGCTCCGGGATGCTGCTGGGGAAGGAGCTGCTTCGGTCACCAGGGCTGCTAAGGGACCCCCGGAGAACAAAACCAAGTTAAGAGGGAAAAAGAGCAATTCTTCCTAAGTTCCAGGACCCAAGTCCTGCCTGAAATCAAACCCCGCCTTGGCTTTGCTGATTCCCTTCATCTGCCTTTGTTTGTTTGTTTTTTTAATATTTTATTTATTTATTAGACAGCGAGAGAGGGAACACAAGCAGCGGGAGTTGGAGAGGGGGAAACAGGCTTCCTGCCGAGCCGGGAGCCTGACCCCAGGACTCTGGGATCCTGACCTGATCCACCCAGGCGCCGCCCCCTTTGTCTAACTTTTTAAATCTGCTTGACAGCCCTGAGGGGCCAGGCTGCAGCCGCAGGGGCCCAGGGCCTGCCACAAAGGCCCAGTGCTGGGAAAAGGCTCACCTGGCCAAGAGCAGGTAGCGGCTGAGGACCCGGAGAAGGGCGCGGGTCCCCCCTCGGTGAAAGTGCAGGGCAGGCAGGGAGCCCCCAGCCTGGGTCACCAGGACCAGGTAGGCCCAGCTGAGGCCCGGCTTGGACCGGCGGATGGACTTGAGCTCCCCGAGACTCACCGTGAAGGCCCAGGAGCCCCGAGGGGAACTGGGCTCTGTACCTGGGGAGGAGCACATGTTGGGAGCAGGCCTGGGGAGGCAGAGGCAGCGCAGATATCCATGGGGAGCCACGTCTCCTTGGAAACACAACTGACTTGCTCGACAATCTCCCTTGGCTCCCTGTGGCCCTCAGAGCGAAGACTGTGTTCTTAACCTGGTGGCAGTTCTCCTGCCCCCCACGCATCTCCTCTCCAGCCCTTCCTTCACTCCAGACCCCACACTCCAGTGTCCTAAACACACCCAGGGCCTCTGGCCTTGCATGGCTACCTTCTCTGCCGGGGAGAAAACTCCCAGGTGTCCCCCAGGGCCGGGGGCTGGCATCACCACCTCCTGGAAGGCTTCTCCATTCTCCGGAGGGGCCGGATGCCTCCTCTGGTGCCCCCAGAACCTTGTAGGACTCCAGGATAGCCCAAATCACCCTCTCACCCCACAACTGTCACCGCCACAGCCTGGACACCTTCACAAGCAGAGGATTCCTGCCGGGGTGCCCACAACCCACCCAGGAGTCTGGAAAGATGAGCAAGACTGCAAACCCCGGAGACCCTGCCAGGCGGGACCTGGGCCGGGGACAGCGCTGCACCCCGATCCACGTGCCTGAGACTGGAAGGCCAGCGACGGACGGTCACCTTGACTATGGCCAGCAAAGTCTTTGGAGCCTTGACCTCTGAGGGTAAGACGTGTCTCCACCTGCCCCTCAGGGGCCCGGGCTCAGCCTACCTCTGGTGGGCTCTAAGTGACGAGACTGTGGCCGCACAGTGCTGATGACAGCCCAGTCGGGTTCATAACCAGGGTCAAAGGTCGGTTCCTCCTCAGAGGTGCAGGAATCACCACCACTGACATCCTTGGGAGAGGAAAGGAAGAGAAGGGAGTGAGGCGCTGTGGATTCAGGGTTTCCAGATCTGAGCCGCAAGGCTGCCCTGGAAGGCAGCCCCGGTAAACAAATAGGGAAACTGAGGCAGACGACAGTGCAATCAGCCAACAGTGCTGGCCACAGGCCGTGGGGAAGGACAGGGAGGGGACAAAGTACAGGAGAGCTGCAGAGACCAGGAGTCCCTTTCACGGGCTAGTGTACGCCTTTCTGTCAGGCAGAGGCTGGAAGGCGAAAACTACATTTCCCAGACTCCTTTGCAGCTACGGGTCACACCACAAGGCGGAGGCAGAACGCGGGAAGGAGGCAGGGGCAACTTCTTGCCGCTCCGGGAGAGGGGGGGTTGGGGGAGGTGGGGGTGCTGACGAGGGAGGCTCCTGTTTTCCCGCACAGAGAGGTGACTAGGGTGGAGGTGGTGGCTAGCTCTGCGTCCCAGCGCCCAGTCACTGGCTTGGTGAGGGTCCAGTGGCTTCCTGCCCTTGGGTGGCAGCTCGGGTGGTAGTGTTCTTGGGTCTCCGCAGGCTCCACGATGATCTCTCCCCACTGCCCTCATTTCAGAGGTGGTGGCAGCTCCCCGGGCGGGTCAGTTCTGCAGGGTCAGTCCTGTTCTGCCGGCTCGTACAAATCCGCCAAGCCTCTACTGGTCTGCCTTGAATCCCTTCCTGCTGAAAGTAACTGGAGTGTCCCAGGACTCCTGCAGTAAAACCCTGCACGAGGGTCCTTGTTGGAAGGACCCAGACAATGAGTCCACCCAAAAGCCGTTTCTCTGCTCCTTCCAGGTGCACAGAGCCCCTCCCACAACAAAGCCTCCCACTGTTTGCCTTCTCAGCCTTTCTTGTGGTTCCGTCTCCTGCCAGTGGGAACCAAGATGCCGCCTCTGGAGAGTTTAAAAGGAGGAAAATTCCTGATAAAAAAGGGCACCTACAGGGCGCCTGGGTGGCTCAGTGGGTTAAAGCCTCTGCCTTCGGCTCAGGTCATGATCCCAGGGTCCTGCTCAGCAGGGAGCCTGCTTCCTCCTCCCTCTCTCTGCCTGCTTTTCTGCCTACTTGTGATCTCTGTCTGTCAAATAAATAAATAAAATCTTTAAAAAAAAAAAAAAAAGGCACCTACATAAGCGACCACCACCCTATTCAGGCCAGTCTTTGGAGGCTGTGGAAGGAGAACACGGCGTCTGGAGCTTTGGCAGCCAACTAGGGCCATGAGGCGAGTCACAGAGACACCTGTCCACGAGGCTGCTGAGTCAGCCCCGGCAAAGCCATCCCATGTCTTGCGGGGCGAATGGGATATTTCACCAACGTTTACATGACATAATGAGAGTCAACACCGCCTTCCGCCAGGCCGGCGTTTGCAGCCCTCTGCCTCTTGGGCACACAGCAGGGTCACAGCTCACTGAGCTCTGCTGGCTGGGTGTAGCCACGCAGCTGGCTCTGACCAGGGGACTGCGAGGTTCCCCTTCCAGGATGGACTGTTTAACTGCCAGGGAAGAGCTCTTGCCCTCTGTCACGAGGAATACAGCTGCTCTAGCAGCATGCTTCCCCGACCAATCACAACGAACAGAGCTCCTCAGTCAACCTGCAACACAGGGAGCGAAACCAGTCCCAAAACACTGGAGCTCCAGTAGCCTTTTTGGACCACAAGGCAGCCGTGAGGATGGCAGAGCAATGCTGGAAGGAAGCCAGGTTGGTGGTGACACGTGGCCTTTTCAACGGGAGAGGCAGGCGCTTCTATGCAGCTGAAGCCGCTGTCACTTCTGTTTCTATCCCACGTAGCCGAAAACAACTCCTCGCTGATGCAGAGTCTGGGAAACGTCTTGCTTTTCCCGATGAGCGGAAGAGATGTGACTGGCACCCTGCTCGCCCCCCTCTTCCTGCCTTAAAAGGAGGTGCGACTGAATGAGTCATCTAAAGGTGACCAGGGCATGCACAGGAGGGTCTCGGTGATCCAGGCCCTGACGTCGCCAGCCAAGGCCAGCAGTTCCATCTCTCCGAGTGTCTCGTGAGAGGAGAGGAATAAATTTGTCTCCTTAACTTGTCACCAGACTGATTTTGTGTTCCTTGGAGCCAAGTGTATCCTGCGTGCGTACGTGCCTTTTCCACTGAAGCCTGCCTCAGTGGGTATCTGTTAATCGAAAACGAGAGGACCGAGGAGGACAGCCACATTTTCAAGAAAGGCACTCAGCTGGCCTGTGAGGCTGACGAAAAATGCAGAATGCTGGTTGCTTCTTCCTCAACCCTGGGAAGCCGGGTTCCTCAGCAGAATTCTGGAATCTCCATTTGTTACCCACTCCCACCAGGTTACTCAAACACCACTGCCCCAGGTGAGGCTTCCTTCTCTCTCCCTGACCCATCATTCTAACCTCCCTGACCTCCCAGCCTCCATCCTCCCTCCATTTGGCCCCTCTGCCCATCCCCCGCATGGGTTTCCCGACAGAGCTTTCCATATCCACACCCTTCTCCTCCCATGGTTTCCCCGGGGACCCCCAGAACACAGTCCAAGCTTCTCAGCTGGGCATTTCAGGCCCTACCACCATCCCAGCAACCCCCCCTCTACAGAGACATCCCATCTCCTCCTGTATCCTGAAATGCCCTTCCTCCTGCTGTCCCTGAAATACCTTCTTACCCCCTTCTCATCCTTAGAGTTTCAGCGCAAATACCTGCTCCCTCCAGAAAGGGGCATGCCTTTGAAACCACAGAGTCTGGGTTCAAACCCCAGTTCCAACACTTCCTAGCTTTCTGACCTTACAAAAGGGGCTTCCAATCATTGTGCCTCAGTTTCCCAAAATAGAATGAGGGTGAAGACTGAGGCAGGGTCTGGGGTAAACTCATCTCTGGGTCCCAGCACAGGGCCTGGTGATGAAAAGTCTGTAACAATCTCTAATAAAAGCCTCAGAAGTCTCTCATAACAAAAAGAGCAAAGTCTGGTACTGAGAGTAGGAAGAACCCCTAGAAAGTATAGTTTTCCGCCCCTGGGGAAATGCCACACCCCTTCAAGTTCTTGTGGACTCAGAGCCCGTGAAACCTGAATCCACGGGCTGTGTTGACCTCCTGCACCATCACAGGGCTCTCCCAAAAAGGAAAGGGGATGAGAGGGCTGCCTCCCCACCGCTATGAATCTCATGGTGTGTGCTTTCTTTCAAATGGGTACCTTCAGCCCCATTTCACAGAGAAAAGAAAACCAAGGGGCCAAGAGAGCCTAGACCCCAACCAGGATCATATATGCTCCAAGAGTAAGTCTGAGATTACACCCAGGTCCTTCAAATGTCTTCCACTGCCCCAACCTGGGAAAAAACAAGTGGAGAAAGGGGAACGGAGGAAAGCCTACCTTCTTGGAGAAGAGAATTTGGGTGGAATCGCCAGCCTCCTCTATCGGAACCCAGTGCAGAAGGACATCACTGTCCTGAGAAAAAAAAGAGGGTTTAGAGGGACATCCCCCCCCCAATCTCCCCAAGTCGTATTTCCAGACTTCTTCCCTCCTCTGGCCCCTCAGACTTACAAAGCCCCTTCTTTCGCTCCAGTCCGCACCCCCTGCCTTCCCACAGTCCCATCGGGACCTCCAGACCATACGCCTCCAGATGCCGCCTCCAACCGGCTCTGGGCCTGCCCGAGCCCTGCTCCCTTCCGGCCCACCTTCTCCACAACGCGGATGACGCCAGCGATGAGGGAGTCCGGGTCTTGGTGCTTCTTAGCACTGGTGTGCAAGTACACGCCACCTTTCTCAAACACCACCTGGGGACAAAACCAGTAAGGGGCGGGACCCAAACGCAGGAAGAAACCAGGGGGCGGGGCCCACAGGCGCTTCCCGGCCGCCCACGGGGCGGGGCTAAAAGGTAAGCGTCTAACCTAGGGCAGTGGAGGAGAGGGTGACAGCGCATTTGTAAACGAACGGTGTGTTCGCTAAGGCTCATTGGGGTTCCCAGAGCCCGGGCAGGGCGTTGGGGCGAAGCCGACTACCGGAGGGCGTAGCTTCGCATCCACAGAAAAATAAGAACGCGTTTCCATTGCCTACCCTGTAACCGGCTCCCTCCATAGTCGCCGCCGAGGTCCCACTCCTCCGGCCCTCTCCCTTTCCGGGTCATCGTGCTGTCACATCCGGATAGGAGACTCCCCTCAAGCCTGGGCAGTGGTAGCGCCCTTGCCTGTTCTAGAACAGGAGAGGGTGTAACCCATCTTTCAGAATGGGGTGGTTGAACTTGAACCACGAGGGTGTAAGTCACATGGCGCAGACGGCGAAGGTGGAGCAGGCCCGCGAGAGTGCGCAAGCGCAGTGCCGTTCCCCCGCCACGAAGTAAACAAGGGGGAGGGTCCAAGGGCTCCACCTCCTCGCCCAAGCTCTCGCCGAAACACCGGCTTCTTTCTCCATGTTGTGTACTGGCATCGAAGCCAATGAGATGCCATTTTGCTCGAGGGCACGGCCAAAGCCTGGCTGCTGCGGCCATGTTAATGCGGGGCAGTCCCATCTCCCTGAGGGGCGCGACATCGAGGTCCTAGAAAAGAAACGGGTAAAGGAAAAGAAGGTGAGAGGAGGTGTACATCACAAGTGGTGCCGAGGGACCTGGGTTAACGGGATGAAGCCGTCAGTATCCCTGGGAACGAAGCGGACCCCGTCGAATTCCTGAGTCACCGTCGGGAGGCGGCGGCCTGAGCCGCCATATTGAAGCCTGGCAAACCGTAGCAAAAAAAGTTGCCTTATTGGATCTTTCCCCACTTTGGCGCTGAAGGGGGATAAGTTGGAGGGAGAATCCATATACATTTTGGGCAAGCGATGCCATGTCGTTAATGGGCACTGCTTTCCTCCACTTCTGTGGAAAAGGTCGACGATGGGTAAGGGGCGTCAGGTCGCTGGCCTTAGTTTACTGTGGTCCTAAGAATGCACGTGGCGACGGCCGTATTTGGAGCAAATCGAAATGGTTCTGGCTCGTTTCCGGGCAAGCTGAAGCCGTTCTTTCACCATCTTTCTTATGGGCACCCTGCTGTCGCCATTGCCCCACTGTGATCCGATGATGTTCCCGTGGCCATTTTGGTCTCGGGCGGCCGGATGAGGGAGGCGGAGTATGCAGCGTGGAGGCGGGCCAGCCTCGCGGAAGTGACGCAAGGCGCCGCCATGTCTTTTGAGGGCGGCGACGGCGCCGGGCCGGCCATGCTGGCTACGGGCACGTGAGTGGAGGCGGCGTTGTGAACCGCGGTGTGGGGAGGATTTGGCTGTCCAGAGGAGAGGGGCGCTGGGAGGGCGAGCCGCTCGCGGGAGGGGTATGGCCTGCGTAGATCAGAGGGCAGAGATTTTCCAGCGACCCTACGCTCAGCGCTGGAAAGGGGTCGCCCGCGGGAACCGTCGTGTCTGACCCAAGGCAAAACCTAGACAGCCTTATCCTCCGGTCTCCAGACCCACGAGGATCCTTGCCTTGGTCGTGGATCATCTCCACGGGGTCTGGGGGTTGCTCTGGGGGTCCTGGGGGCGCCCCTCACCCGTCCAAAGGCGGGACTTCCGGTCCTGGCCCCCACCTGGGCGGGATTTCCTGTTTTCTTCCTAGAGAAGTGGGTTTTTCCTGGACCCCTGGCCGAGGTGGGGGGGAAGGTTCCTGAGAGGTCAAGGAAATGCCCAGACATTCAGCTTTCCCCCCCGGCTACGCGGAGTAGTGGGTGGGGAGGGCATCCTCGAGTTTCTCCCGCTTTCGGGGGTGAGAGGCACTGCCACTTTGACAGGTGGTTGGAAGGGGGCTTCACTAGCATCCCTCATTCTTTGGCGGACTTCGCTTCTTTCCTCACCTCTTCCTAGAGTCATTTTCTTCAGTTCACCTCCTCGCCTCGTATTAAGAGGCCAATTACTTTAGCTCTCCCCTCCCCTTTCTGTGGGGGACAAGTCTCACCTTTCCTTAATCCTAAAGTTCTCAGTTTGGGGGGTTGGGGAACCCTCCATCCATCTCTGAGCTCCTTAGAGGATACAGGACTTCCTCCAGCAGCTGGAAGGGTGGCGTCTTCCCTGGTCTTGGCCACTCTACTTTTGGAGAACTCACTCCAGAGAGCCCTCAGGCCTTTGCAGAGAGGCGTGAGTTGCCCTCCTGTTTGCCCAGGCCTCCTCCTTACAGCCGGGGGACCCTCCCACCCACTCTCCCCCATTTCAATCTTTTCAGTCCTGTAACTACCCTAAGATCTAGGACAGAGAGTTCAATCCTGATGTCCCAGGGATGTGAGAGCCCCAGGCCTACCACAGCCAGGCTGTGTGACCTGGGGTCAATCATTTCCCTGCCCTGAGCCTTGGTTTCCTCGGTCAGCTAGGGGAGACCCTTAGCCGCCTCTCAGTTCTGTTGGATTTTGGAGTCAGGCAGAGAGCAGAGTCAGTCCTGCTCTGACCCATTTAACTTCTGGGCCCTCTGACGAGTCCCTGAGGCTCTCTGAGTCTCACTTTCCCCATCTGGACATAAAACTTTGCTGCTAAGGAAGGCAAGATGGCATTTGGGACTAAGAACAGGCTCTCCTCTCCAGCCCTATGACCCTAATCAAAATACTGAATCTCCCTGGCCCTCAGTTTGCAGCTGAAGTGGGGTGATAACAGCCCCTCCCTGGTAGGGTTGGGGAGAGGGTGGGATGAGAATGGTGATTGACGACCTGCTTGGCATCCCTGCCTGGCCTGTGGGAAGCGCTGGGTGAATTTGCTCTGGGGTCTGTCACGATTAGTGCTGGTTGTGTTCTTGCTGCCTGTGGCTTCCAGCAGGGGCTTTGTACTCCACGAGCCTTGCTTGTCTCATCTGGGAGGGAACAGCTCCCACCTTAGTGGGTCAGATCGGAAGTGAAATGACAGATGTGGGCTCCCTACAGAGTCGGTGCTCAGCAAACACTGGCTTATGTGCTTAGGAGTTGAAAAGGGCCAGCAAATTGAAATCAGGCTACACATGACCCTGGCTGGACTAGAACCTTGCTTGAATTCCTCCAGTGAGGGGGGGTGCCCCCTACCTCCTTGAGGAGGCTCCTCAGCTTCCCAGCCGCCCTCGCTCAGCCACTCTACAGGAGGAAGAAAAATGAGGCACAGAGAGGGCCAGTGAGTGCTCCAAGGTCACACAGCAGGTTTGAGATGGCAGGAAGCCAGCCCCCGTGCCCCTTGCTCTTTTCTCTCTTTCTCTTATTTTAAGTTTGTCTATTTATTTAAGTAATCTCTATACCCAGTGTGGGGCTCGAACTCATGACCCCAAGATCAGGAGTCGCATACTCTTCCAGTTGTGCCAGCCAGGTGTCCCAACCCTTTGCTCTTTTTATCTTGACCTTGGGGAGCTCACAGTGTGATGGAGGAGGCAGACAGAGGTACAGTTGTCTTAAGCTCAAGGGAGGGTGAGCTGTAATGGAGGTAGCCCAGGGCACTGTGCGTCTAGGGAATCAGGATCAGAATCAGAATCAGGGTCAGCTGATCCATCCTGGGGCATCAGGGACGACTTCCAGAGGAACTGGCAGAAGTCTTTTCAGAAGTACAGAGCTTCATGTATGGAGTCTCAGCGAGAGCTCCGCCCCTACTCTCTGAGGCCTGCCACTGAGAGGGGCAAGGCTGGTGGCTCTGGGATCAGCCTTCCAGGCTCTCCCTCGGGTAGCTCCACAGCGACTGGGGAGACGGAGGTGGACCCACTCAGTCCTCCCCCAGAGCACCCTGTGCTAGAATGGGGGGATTCACAGACGTTGTAGCCTGAAGAGGGGGGACTGATCTGATCTGGGGTGAGGGAAAGCTCCTTCCACGCTAGGGTGAGAGAAAGATTGACAAGTAACTGGTGGACACGGGATCGGGACTGTAGGTCTCAGGCCTCAGAAGTCTGGAAGCGTGTGAGGCTGAGCGGCCACAACTCTGTGCTGGGGAGACTAGGGAGGGGCAGGGGAAGGCTGGGAGGTTCAGGAAGAGGCGGGAACCATGGTCCAGCAGAAGGAGTGCTGGCCAGGCCTGTCGTGTCAAATCTCCTGGAAGCCACATTAAAAAAGTAGAAGGAAAACAGATGAAATTCATTTCCACCATATAGTTTATTTAGCCATTATGTCTGAAATGTCGTGTTTTCGACGTGTGGTCAACGTCAGACTACCACTGAGACCTTTGACATCCTCCCTCTTTTTACAAAATCCTCAAATGCCAGTGTGGATTTTGTGCTCCTGGTCCCGCTCCCCTTGGACCTGCCACATCTCATTCCTTAGTCACATGTGACTGGTGGTTCTGTATTGAACAAGGCAGGGCAAAGGGTGGGGGACTGGGGCTGTGAAAACTGGATGGACCAGGAAGGATGGGGCTGGAGGGTTGGGGACGGATAGAGTCAGGAGGTCCGGGTGGGGAGGAATTTGGGGGAAGGGGGTGAGCCCCGCTGGGGACAAGGTCGCCGGAAGGGATGGGAGTGGTGTCTAGGGGCAGATGGACGCCTAGGGGCAGGTGTAGACTGCGCAGTCAATCCGCTGGGCTTCAGCTCTCTGTCCTGCTCTGCTCTGCAGGGCGTGGATGGCGTCGGGGCGCCCCGAGGAGCTGTGGGAGGCGGTGGTGGGGGCCGCTGAGCGCTTCCGGGCCCGGACAGGCACGGAGCTGGTGCTGCTGACTGCCGCGCCGCCCCCACCGCCCCGCCCGGGCCCCTGTGCCTATGCAGCCCACGGGCGTGGGGCTCTGGCCGAGGCCGCCCGCCGCTGCCTCCACGACATCGCCCTGGCCCACAGGGCCGCCGCCGCTGCCCGGCCCCCCGCACCCCCGCCAGCACCACAGCCACCCAGTCCTGCGCGGAGCCCACCTCGGCCTACCCTGGCCAGGGAGGACGACGATGAAGATGAGGACGAGCCGACAGAGACTGAGACCTCTGGGGAGCGGCTGGGTGTCAGCGACAACGGAGGTGAGACAGGCTGGGGCTGGGTGGCTCTTGGCTTGGCAAGTTGCCTCCAAGGGCAGTTTTCCTGGAGGGGTGGGACTTGCCTGTCTCTGAGCCCTGGTGTTCTGTGGCAGCTGCAATCACAGAGAGCCTGGGGGGGCGGGCTGGCTTGCCTGTGCCCCGCTGTGTGACTCTGAGCAGGTCATGGCCCCTCTCCGAGCCTGTATCCTTACATGTTAACCTGGGGCCAGCTCTGGGCTGGAAGGTGCCAGACAGAGACACAAAGCAACTCAGGCCTCGCCCCCCACACCCTTTTAAAAGAATTTATTTACTTATTTGTTACAGAGAGAGAGTGTGAGCATAAGTAGGGGGAGCAGGAGAGGGAGAAGCAGACTTCCTGCTGAGCAGGGAGCCCTATGTGGGGCTCTATCCCAGGATCCTGGGATCACGACCTGAGTCGAAGGCGGATGCTTAACCAACTGAGCCAGTCAGGTGCCCCTTGGGCCCTTTTCTTGGGGAGACTCCCTGTCTGGCCAAGGAATTGATAGTCCTGACAGGAGGCAGTGCCCTGTGGAGCCCATGGGGTCGGGACCTGAGCTGGGAGCTTGAGCAGAACAGGAATTGTTTCCAAACATGCGGTGGCTAATACTTGTGAGAACAAAGATGGGAGTTACAGAGGAGTCAGGGGCGCAGGCAACGGCTTAAGGAGGCCAGAAGGAAAAGCCACTGGCTGTTTTGGAGGGGAATCCAGAGGTTGGATACTTCGAAGAGACTGGACTATAACGTTCGGGCTTTGAAGAGTGATTAGGAGTTTGCAGGAAGGGCTCAGTAAGCAGGACTTAACTCATTTGTCGTTACTACTAACGCTGGCTTCTTCACTGGAGAAAACCCACATAGGGTTCAGGGCACAGCCTCGGAGCTAGGTGGCCCGGGTTCAGATCCCAGTGCCATGGTTATTAAGTGGGAGACTTGGGGCAAGTGGTTTAACTTTTCTCTGCCTCCTGGTCCCCGTCGGTCAAACAGCGATCATCATCGTCTCATACTCGGTCTGTATTTTGAGTCCTTCATCCCAGACGTCGTGCGGATTTCGTGTCTGTTCAGCCAGTTGCTTTCATCCGAGGGTGTACCAGACAGAAACTGGATTCGTGCGGATGACCAGGCAGATAACTAGGAGAAGGGTGTTTGAGGCAGAGGGAACGATTCCAGGAGCCCTGTGGCTTGCAAGGGCCTGGCGGATGCGAGGACTGGGGAGGCGGTGGCGGTGGAAGGTGGCTGGAGCAGAGAGTAGCAGGGACCTGACCGGCCTGGGCCGCTAACACCCACAGGGCTTTTTGTGATGGACGAGGATGCCACACTCCAGGACCTGCCCCCCTTCTGTGAGTCGGACCCCGAGAGCACAGATGGTAAGAGTCCCAGGCTGTCCCCACCCCTGGGGGGTGCTGGGATGAAGGCAAAGGCAGAGGCTGAAGTCTGCCCTCTCTCCCAGATGGCAGCCTGAGTGAGGAGACCCCTGCTGGCCCCCCAGCCTACTCAGTGCCCCCGGCCTCAGCCTTGCCCACACAGCAGTATGCCAAGTCCCTGCCCGTGTCCGTGCCCGTCTGGGCCTTCAAGGAGAAGAGGACAGAAGCACGGTCATCGGATGAGGAGAACGGGCCGGTGAGGAGCAAAGGGGAGGAGAGGAGAGGAGGGTGGAGGGAGGGACTCAGAGCCACTTCCTCCAGGAAGCCCTCAGGGATGGAAGCCACATTTCCTAGGATTGATCTTGCCATCCACCTCCTGAGGCAGGTTTTGGGGCAGAACCCTAAAGGTTTAACAGCTGCAGCCTTACAATGTACCCCAGTGCCTTGCAGAGAAGGTCTCTTCTGGGTTTTCAGGAACAGCTTCATTTACAGAATACTTGCTCCAGCCAAGACACGGATATTTTGATATCCCTTCCAGAAAGGGAAACTGAGGCTCAGAGGGTTTAGATCACCTTCTGTCCCCACCCTGCATGTTCCTGGCTCCTCCTGGAATTTGCCCCTCCCCCACTGCCTCCCATCCAGTCCTCCCTGTGGCCCTCATGGGCTGGCCTGGGTGGCTCTTCCTCACCTAGCCCTGAACCTCCCCGAGGCACAGGGAGTATCTGTGACTTTCCCGAGACCTCAGCTTGGGAGGGGCAGGGCTGGGATTGGAACGCAGCCTCCTTTCTGAAAGGAGTTACAGATGGCAAGGGTGGAGGCCCTGCGGTCTCATGGTCCCCTTCCCCTTGGTGCCTCTCAGGAGGCTCATTCACACAGTGGCTGCTGCTGCTGCTATCTGCACTGCCACTGGAGGAAGCCCAGTTAACAATGTTTGAGGCCCGAGTGGTGGCACTGGGCTGGTCTCTGAATGGGCGGAGGTCCAGCCTTTGTCCATGGCCTCTCCCATTCCGGGGAAGGCCGGACCCAGCGCACAGGGCGTCAGGCCATCTGGGAGATTGCACTAGCTGCTGGGGCTGCAGACAGGATGACAGGGCCCCTCCTTGGGGGAGGCCAACCAGAAGAGGGGCCCTTTCCCTACAGCGCGGGCAGCATGGTAGTGGACAGTACTTGAGCAATCACTGTGCTGATTGTCTCAGGCTCTGTCATCAGCCCCGCGTTTTAAAAGGGGAGACCAAAGCCTCAGGAGATGAAATGCTTGTTGACAGCTAGCCGGTGGCAGAGGCCTGATTGTTCCGTGACTCAGTGCCAAGCCCAACCCAAATCTTGAGACCTGACTCTCTGGGTGCACACAGCCTTGATGGTCAGCAGAGTGATGGTCACCAGAGCAGCATAGTTCCACTGTGTAAGAAGGAACTGGAAGGCAGTGGGACAGGTGGCTGTTCTTGCACATAGAGTCAGGCCAAGAAGGGGAGGAGAGGGGCAGGAAGGCTTCATGCAGGAGGTGGTGTTTTGAGTTTGGTAGGAGGATCTTCCGCGGAGCAAGTCAGGATAAGGGGCCTTCGCGGGTGTAGGCAAAGTGCTGGGGCGGGAGTGGGGGAGGGGTGGGGCGAGGGCAGGGCCGCAGCGGGCGCTGACCCGCCCCGGTCCCGCAGCCCTCTTCGCCGGACCTGGACCGCATCGCGGCGAGCATGCGCGCGCTCGTGCTGCGGGAGGCCGAGGACACCCAGGTCTTCGGGGACCTGCCGCGGCCGCGGCTCAACACCAGCGACTTCCAGAAGTTGAAGCGGAAATACTGAGGCCCGGGGAGAGCGCTTCCCGGCCCAGCGTCCGCCCCGCCCCACACTACACCCCTGCCCCGCCCCCGGGGCCGGCCAATCCGAGTCCGACCCGGGACCGGCTCCTCAGGTCCCCGGGGCCCCGGGATTGCACCCTCCCTCCCAATCCCTGCCGTCCTTCCCTCCACGACCTTCTCACGCGCCGAGGAGCGGGACCTATCTAGTTTCCCTATTGGGTTTGTCGCCGCTTTCTTTGCCCGGCGACAGATTCGTTCGATTAAGGGATTGGGTCGCTCCCAGATCGGGGCGTGGCTAGTTTAAAGCCCTCGCAGGGGTTACCCGTCGTTTTTTTGCCTAGCAACAAGGGCTTTGCCTGCGCGGCATTGGTTGAAAGAGAATAATCAAGCCCCAGGATTGGGTAGTAGCAAGCCCGTTCGGCCTAGAGAATGGGCAACTCCTTCATTTGATTGGCTTGAACTCAAAGGGCTTAACCAATATCCTGGGAGTAGCCATCCCCCCCCCCTCCCTTCCTGGGTTTTCCCCGCCTGATTGGTTCTAGCCTCCTGAGGGCGTGGCCAAACCTTCCTCCTGTACCCAGGATTGGCCTGCGGCCTTAAATTTACGTTCTTTACACTACTTGGGACTGGGGTCGTTTCTGACCGAGTCCTGACTAAGTACCCCTCTGCCCCCTTCCAGGGCTGGCCCAATCCTGTCCCTGCATCTGACACCCTCTCATTGGTTCCATCCCATAACAGCCTGCCAATCGTAGTCCCGTCCTTGCACCCAGGACGGCACCAGCTCCCGCCCCTCTCCCCCCACCCCCACAGGTGCCTTAAAGGGCCCTCGTCCACCCAAGGTGGGAGGCAGGGGCCCTCGCTCTCCGGCCCTTGTGTGGGGGAGAGAGTCGTGGGTGGGGATCGGGAGTTGGGAGGGGTGGTCTGAGATTAAAGAGTTTTACCTCTAACAAATGAGTATAAAGTGTGTTCATTCAACAAACACTTTGTGAAGCCGAAAGAGCGGCATCTCACTGATTTTTTTCAGTGCAAAGCTGGGAGTTGGAATTACTGTCCCCATTTTACAGACAAGAAAAGAGATTCATGGGGTGTGAAGGAAGAATTCCAGTCCTATGTGACCATTAATCTCCAATCTTCTGGGGGACGAGTGTTGGAATGTGAATGGTCTTTAAGGAATCAGTGTTCTGAGTCCACATAGTCCCCAGCAAAGCCAGGAACGTCCAGCTGAGGCCGGGAGTTTTCTGCCTAATACAAGACAGCTGAAGATTAGAGAACAAATGGCACCTGGTGCGATGTCTGGGTCGGGTCAAGTAAACCTGGAATCTTCCTCTCCCATCAGACCACCACCGGAGGAATGCTAGCAACAGACAAGACTTAAAGGGAGAGCTGCCAGCCAAACACTTGTATAAAGTTATTTACATCTACTAACTCCTTTAATCATCCGAGTAACTCCATGAAGTGGAAATTATACCCTCTTTAAAGATGAGAAAATTGCTGTACTGAGGGTTGGGGCTACTGTCGGGGGACTGACAATCATCCTCAAGTGGAAAAGTTTCTTCCCCTGTAACTAAGGGAGAGAATGTTCAAGGTGTATAGAGGAAAATCTGTGAACAGAGGACCCACACCCCCTACTGGACGGAGCCTCTCATTGCTGCAGGGGAGATGAAGGTCAGAGCAGCTACGCCGCAGTCGGGGCGGGGCTTCTGCCGGGGGAGGAGCCAAGGCCCTGCCCCCTTCCGGAGGGCGAGTCATTTCCGTCCGCCGAGGAACAGAGAAAGCAGTCGGCGGAGTTGCGGGCAGAGCGCCTCGGGCAGGAATTCCCTGGTCGCAAGTGGCAAGTGACCCCCGGTCGGGACGGTGAGCGCGGGACCGAGTCAGGGGTGCGCGCGAGCTTCTTGGCCTTTGCCCTGGAATGTTAGGGTCGGGTTCGCCGCGGGACTGAGCGGGGCGTCGTCGCCTGGGAAACGGCGCGAGCCGGCGGCAGGCGAGAGGGTGGGATTTCCGGATCCTTCAGCGGAAGAAGGGAAATTCCTGGCTGGGGCGGGGGGCGAGAGGAGGCGGGACTTCCTGTAGCAATTTGAGAGCGACCTGCCACTCAAACCTGTTTACCTGTTTCCCTTCAGGCTGGCGCCCGGGATGGCCGAGGTGGAGGCCCAGGGCCGCCTGTGGCTAGAGAGTCCCCCTGGGGGCGCGCCCCCTATCTTCCTGCCCTCGGATAGACAAGTCCTTGTCCTGGGCCGGGGACCCTTGACCCAGGTTACCGACCGGAAGTGCTCCAGAAACCAAGGTGGGCGGGGCCGGAGCTGTGGGGGGTGTGGCCCGCTGCTGGCGCGGGAACTCGGTCTTGGGGAAAGGGGGACAGCCAGTCCAGTAAAAGGGAGCTGCTTGGCCACCGGGCTGGATTGCGTGGTGTAGCTAGTCCTGAAGTTGGTAGGTGCCCTCTGGGGAGCATAGAGAGAGAAATGCTGTGCCTGATCTGGAACTAGCCAGACCCCTTAGTGGGGAGGGGTGGAGCCAATCCCGAGACAGTTATCAGAGGAGGATGCTCACAGGTCACCGTGAAGGTTTGAGTCAGGTCACGACCCTTCCCAAGGAGAGAGCCCATCCTAAAAGTACTTGTTTTTGAGCAGGGCTGGGGGGTAATGGGCGAAGCCGAGGACCTGCATCTAGCCACACGCGTCATCGAGGAGAAGCCAGTTCTATACAGAAAAATGCCCGCCCTGCCCCTAGGCGAGAACCGCCTCACGGGCAGTCCTGAGGCCTCTGATTACTGCATGTCAAGGAGACAGCCGATCCCATTTGAAAATAAACTGCTTTCCCTCCCGAGTGGGATGTAGTGTCCCCATCACATGGCCTGAAGCTGGCCATGTTCCCAGTAGTGGGGAAGGCACTCGCACAAGGATGCACATTCTGACCCCACACTCTCAACCCTCAGTGGAGCTGGTCGCAGACCCCGGGACTAAGACTGTGGCAGTGAAACAGGTACCAGTTCCTCGACAGGTCTGGGGGTGGCGTTGGGGAGGAATGGCAACTCAGCAGGCCCATTGGAAAGACCTGGTTTGGAGGGGAGCGGGTGTGGCGAGTAGAGAAGATCACGTAGAGCTGCCCCTACAGCGGGTATCCATCCACGTTTAAAGTGGTAAGACTGGAGCCTGTAACTTTCACGCATCCCTGATTGGTGGTATACAGTGGAAAGGCGGGGCTTACCGGTCTGATTGGCAGGTGGGGAAAGGCAGTCCTTGAGTGGGGGGTTTGAATCAGAGGGGCTGTTGGTTCGGGATGCAGTCAATCCCAGCTCCTCCCTCTCCCTCTGCAGCTGGGAATTAACCCCTCAACTGCTGGGACCCAGGAGCTGGCTCCGGGGTCAGAAGGCTCTCTGAGGTTGGGGGACACACTGTATTTGGTCAACGGCCTCCACCCGCTAACCCTGCGCTGGGAAGAGGCCCGCACACCTGAATCCCGGCAGGACACTCCGCCCCGCACCCCTCCGGTGGCTCCAGACGTGGCACAGAATGTTGAGCCGCAGAAAAAGCGGATGCGAAAGTCATCCCCAGGCTGGGAGAAGTTCGAGAAACTGCTAGTGTTTACTGCACCTGGGGTGAAGCCCTGCGGCAAGGTGAGGCGGAGGGAGCCACACAGACTGCCCCCCGCCCCCCGCAGGTCCTTCAGCCTCTCTTAGCTTCTGCTTTTTTGTGAAGCAAACCTGATGACAAATTCAGGGGATGTTGTAAGCCCTGGGGAAATCGATGTCTGTCAGCCCCTGCCTGACCCACTGAAACCACAGGAGGGAACACCCATCATTTTAGCAGAGGTCCGGAGCCTCGAGCTCATGGGGCCCCAGGCCACCCGCTCTGAGCCCCACTGGTCTCACCAGTAAACTGAAGAGCCCGAGAAAAGCTCGTGGCGCCTCCTCGACATGGGGTTAGCACCTGAGCAACTTCACTCCTGTTTTTATTGTCCCAGTCGGCCTTCTGAGGCAGAGGCCAGAGGAGGTGGGTGGGTAGGACGTGAACCCCATTTTAAAACTGCCAACCCTGGGGCTTCGAAGGAGTAGGAGGCGGTACAGTGTAGATCTCAGGCTGTGCGCTCCGGGGAGGGGTAGGGACCCATCCTTGCCGTGGACCTTCCTTCCGTAAGATGTGCGGGCGCTCTGTGACTCAGTTTCCCCTTGGGTGACAGGTGCGTGGTAACATCTCTACCTTGCGGGGGTGACGTGACGCAGCCTGTGAGCCCGGGGATCAGAGGCATAACAGGGTTGATGTTCCTCTTTTCTTGCTGACGTCAGGTGGCTGGCTTTGATCTGGACGGGACCCTCATCGCCACACGCTCTGGGAAGGTCTTTCCCAGTGGCCCCAGCGACTGGAGGTGAGAAGAGGCAGAACAAGATGGGCAGTGAGGGTGAGGCCGGCACCCCCTCCCCACCCCGTGGGGCTCCGGGTCACCCTTCTGCTTTCCCGTCCGCCCCAGGCTCTTGTATCTCGAGATTCCGCGGAAGCTCCGGGAACTGGATGCCGAGGGCTACAAGGTGTGTGTGCTTCTGTGTGCGCTGACCGGGTCCCAGGGCAGGCCGGGGCCCTGGCGAGGAGGGCGCCACGTGACATCCCTGTGCTCCCCAGCTGGTGATCTTCACCAACCAGATGGCCATTGGGCGTGGGAAGCTGCCGGCAGAGGAGTTCAAGGCTAAAGTGGAGGCCGTGGTGGAGAAACTGGGGCTCCCCTTTCAGGTGTGGCTGCAGGGGAGTCTGAGGGCCATGGAGGTGGGGGGGATGGGGGCCTAGAGGGAGGGGCAGAGAGGAGGAAACAGAGACCCAGGGAGAAGGTACAAAATCCAGGGGGGGGGGGAGGGGGGGGGGTTGGGGGCCCTGGGAGCAGCCAGAGGCCCTGGGCGGTTCTGCTGGCAGAAACCCCATATAAATGGCAGGTTCCCGGGCACCGGGAGCTCTCTGGGTTGGTGAGGATTGGGGCAGCATCCCTGGCACCCACGTGCCCTCGAAGGATTACAGGAACGAACCCAGGATGGTGTCTGACTTCCGCCCACAGGTGCTGGTGGCCACGCACGCCGGCTTGTACCGGAAGCCGGTGGTCGGCATGTGGGACCATCTGCAGGAGCAGGTGAGCGGCGGCCTCCCCCTGGCTCCCCTCTTCCCTCACTCAGCCCAGGCTCCCCCTGCAGGTCTCTGGTGTTTGGCCTCTTCCCTTCTCTCCCTTCCATCTCCTCCCCTGGTCCTTGCCTCCTGTTTTCCTCCTGCCCCCGTCTGTGGGTACACGAGGGCGGGACTCCTGAACCCTGAAGACCCGAGTGGGTGGGCAGGAGATCACACGTTCGTGCGTTCTTCTGTGTGTGCATTTGTTGTGAAGCGCGACAGCTTTTTGAGCTGAAGGTCAGCGTACAGGACAGACGTGCTGGGCGCTCACGTACCCGCCAGGGCGCAGGCTGTGGATGCACAGACCGGTGTGTGAGCCAGCAGGAGGGGTGAAGCCAGGGATGGCAGGGTTTACCCAGGGCGGGCAGGTCATGCCTTTCCCAGGTGCTCTCGGGGGTCTGCAGCTGGGGAGGGAGGGAGCCATGTGGGTAGCTAGAAGAGCGCTCTAGGTTGAGTAGCTGCAAGTATAAAGGTCCTGAAGCAGGGCCGTGACTAGTGTGTTCTGTTCCGGGACCATGAGGTCTGGGCAGCTGGAGCTTCGAGGATGATGGGATGAGGCTGGGGCGTGAGGTCAGAGAGCTGGCAGATGAGAGACTGTGAGGGGGGCCTCAGGTAAGGGTTTCCCTTTTACCAGCCCAGGAGCAAAGAGTGCTCAGGAGGGTTGGGAGGGGAGGAAGCTCGGGAAGTAGGAACTGGCACCCTCTGGTGGCCGAGTGAGGAACAGACGGGTGAGGGCAGAAGCCCAGAGCCCAGAGCCCAGCCGCCTGGATGGACAGTCCGGGATGCAGGTGGTGGCAGTGAAGGAG